TTCCAACTCAGTGATTCTGTTTTTTTATTTTATTTTTTCTGACATGCTGGTGTTATATCATATCTTTCACTGTTATACTAGTAAATACAGCTGGATAAAACTAAAACTGTGTCCGTCTTCATTTCAGGCTACAAAGCAGCAAAATGTGATTATTGTCAAGGGGGGGTGATTCTTTTCTATACCCACTATAGGCTATTGCCATATAGATCACAATAATCATATACAAAGTTCATAATAATCATATACATTTAGTGGCAATGTTGTTGCCACTGAGGAAAACTAATTTAATTTACTGATGAATAATTACATCTTATAAAACATCTGTTCCTTCTCAAGTAAAAAATGCATAGCTTAACAATTAGATATAGCCTAGAACAGAAATGGAAATGCAAATAGCTTAAATAATAACAATAAAAATACTATTACTAATAAATAATAATAATTAAATAATAATTACATATATAGTGTAATGATCATATTGATAATACTGATCATCAATATTATATTATTAATGACAATATTAATAATAATACAAATTATAAATAAAATATATATGATATTGAATATAATATAATGGAAATACAATATTGCACAATCTCTGAGGTATAGATTGTCTCGTGGACATTAATGGAGTACATGTATCTGCACTGAATGAGCAAGCAAAAAAGCAAAAGCTTTGATGAATATAAACTGCTGCCATCAGCATAACATAGAATGTTTGGGGATGAATCATTTACAGCTGTCAGGCAATACTGTCTAAGAAATATGACTCACATTTAATTGGCATCTATAGCTAGATTTATGAAAATGAGAAGACACTAAGCCTTACTCACAAAGATATTAGACATAGAATGCTTTATTAAGGCTCTTTCAAGCAAACAGAAAGCCCACTCAATCATAATCAGTCTAGGAGTAACTGTCAGGACGTGCCTAAAGCGGATAGCACAAAGTCAGCTCATATCATGGTTTTCCTCTCACGGTAATGAGATGCATTGGGTTTACTGAGGTTTAGGATATGAAATATTACCATCAGAAACGAATCTGCATTTTGAATAAATAACATCTAACTGGAGGTGTTTGCAGTCATATTCTTTCAGATATACATTCCCTCTGAGCAAACTGATCACAGTCAATCACACTTTTCTGAAAACTGCCAAAGCATCCTAAATAGCGTGCTCAGAAAAAAGCACTTAAAAAAATTATCTCTGTATTTGAAAATGCAAAGAGGAATCGCATTAACCAATCTCCAGCCAACTCCGGCCGTTTGATCCAAAACCTCCTGAAGAGTGAACGCTTGCTGTGAAACAGCTCCTCATGAATAGAGCCAAAAAAAGGAAAGGCTGGAAAGGTTATTATGCAGCTCAAATCGATGACACAAAGTACAGTTACATAATTAATGAGCTTCCTGCACGGCCTCATTCATGTTAACATTTCAAGCAGGTGACAAAGTGGTCGCTGTCTCAGGAGACCTTCTACCTGTCAATAATCTGAGAGGAAAAGATACAGTAAAATATAATTTCCTCATATCTATCTCAGATGGATAACACTTTCCAAATGGATCAATGGATTTTGCTCCAGATAACATTGTAATATTATTTGATGGATTAGATTTTTACATCTTTTTTGGACCTCATGCAAAAGAGTAGTTGCCAGGACATTACTATGTGGTTGCCAAAGTGTTCTGAGTGCTTTTTAACAACATGCTTCACATTATATTAAATGATATTATATATAATATGAAATATAATCTATACTTCAATATTTCATGCATTATTTTATATTATATTTTTACATTTTTTTATTTATTTAGATATTTTATTTATACTTATTTTATGTATTATATCTATCTATCTAGCTATATATATATACTGTATATATATAATAAAATATATAAAAATATATTTAAAAACATTAAAATATATATATTGTATTATTTTACACTTTATTTTATATTATTTTACATATTATATTATTTTATTTTAATGCATTATAATATTATATCCTGTGCGATTACAAATCTGAAATAATTTTTCACAAAACTGCACACACATTATCAATATTTTAGTCTCTGACAAAACACAATAATGTAATTACAAAATTACATTAATATTTTTAAATATTGTAATTTAATATTCCTCCTAATGCAAAATGTAGTCTTCCTTCAGCCAGAAGGTTCAATCTAATGCACTGAATGAGACAGATCTGTAGAGCTTTTCTTGCTGAGGTCAGCAAGCATAGGTTGCTCTGACATGAGGAGAGTAAATTCAAACCTTCCCATTGTGTGGATAGAATAATTTCCTGTCACTCAACATTTAGTTGATGAACCATCATTTTAAAGGCGCGTTTAAGGTCATTTTATCCTCATTAGAAATGTTTTACACATAATAAGCCAAATAGAAGTTTTGTAAATATGTTTGAAAACATATCACCGACATAATAAAATGGTTGTATTTCAAATCATGCGAAGTTGAGATCACGTGTCTAGCCGAATATGATTCACTTTATCAAGGTAATCGTCCCCGTTATCGATCACTTTCACTCGTGAAATTAATTATTTGTGGCTAAGAACATCATTAAGTGAAAACACTATGGAAAGCAAAAACAATATATTGAAAATGTATCTTTAAATGAATACAGTGTGCATCTGCACACTAATTGCACAATGAATTTCATCAGTGCAGCAGTTATGCAAAAAAATTAATTACAGGAATGGTGCAGAACATTAGTTTTCAGATGTGAAGGGGGAAATACAATGCAAAAGAAACGAATTACTCTGGGTGTTTCTTATCTGCTGGAAACAGAGTCCCACTCACTCCATAGACCCATGCTAATAAAATATAAAGACAATGATTACTAGATTAATAGAACTTGCACATTGCATTTTTCTATGGTATCTCTTTATCTTGCATTTGTCATCAGAGTATTGACAGTCATAGCGTTGTGCACCTACTTAACTATTGTTGTTTTTTTTCTTTTTTTATTCTCTAACACAAATGCAAAAATAACATTTTGTCATGGTGACATTGCTGACATGTCAGCAGTTCTCTTGCCGTTAACTGCCATCGCTCTATGCACGCAGGTTACTCTTAATGGTCGTGGCACCAGGCAGAATATATGCAAATGAGTTGGAGACTACAAAGAGAGGGGGTGATTTGATTATGTTTCAGTTAAAGATGCATCATATGGGTCATCTTCAACCATAGAGGAGAAACGCTGCTCCTTCACACTCCCTTACACTCTAACAACCTTCTAGAATAGGCTCTTACATAAACATTTCAGAAATAAGCGCCATTCGCTAGGTGATCATGTTTATCAGTGCAGCATGAATTACTGTGCAAACACTGACCAGGAGCAATAGAGATTTCCTGGCAAGGAGTACAGACGAGAGTAAAATCTGTATTTGAAAGGGACGTGAAAATAATATTTATATGGGGGAACACATGAACAGTTATATTTCAGCCCAAATTCAAAGGAAAATGAAGAAAATATAACCTGTTGTAGGACCTTTCATATTTTTTGCATTGGTGATGTTATTTTCCCAACAATTAAGCACCATTGTCGTTATTATAATGCAAAAATAATGCTATATTATGTTTATATCAACCTTATTGTGCATTTAAGAACAATTTGTTATGCTGATTGATGTTGCAAATGCTGTTATCATATTATTTTAATTTATTATTGTAATCATGAATACTCTGGTTTGAGGTGCAAATAGTTTTAAGGTTTACTGCACTTTGTTATTCTTCCTGTAATTTACCCATAGAGGCTAACGAATCTGAAATTTCGCACATTCACAATAAAAAGATTATTTCTGTGTTGAAATATATGGATATCATGGAAATATATGTAACACTAACCTTGATTTATGAATTAAATTTGTATTACAGTAATATTTTGGGCTTAATTTTGCTTAATTGTGGCATGAAAACAATACCACAATTTAAAACACTCGTAAGTCTTCTTAGTCACACGACAACAAAATGGCTTCTTGCATGTGGGCTTGCTAACACTTTGATTTGGCAGACTAAGTTTAAAAAAAAAATTTATAAGAAAATATTTTAATAAAGAAAATATAATATTTTAAAATAAAATGTATTCACTTCTTGTTTTTAAATAAATATTTGTAAAATATTTAAAAAATTAACATTTTGCCAAACTACCATTTCGTTCTTTTTTTTAAGAATTTTAAAAAGAATAGATAGATAGAATAGATAGATAGATAGTCTCTGAACAGTTAAAACCTCTAGACTTTTTTATTGTTTTAAAACCTACAAATAATGTTAAAATGACTTTTAAACATTTATTCATATAGGTATTCGAGTCATTTTGTATGAACTATTTTTGAATAACATAAAAGATCCGGACAATGACCGTCACGTCATTGACTCTTATGCAGATTTTTGTGTAGAATAGATAAAGAGTCTCATTAGGGTTTCTTTCAGATTATCGCGGCTTTTCCAACCTTAAAACATGAGATAAACGTCCAGAGCTCTTGCCAAATTCACAGAGAATTCACATCAGTTCAAGTCAGCTGTCTGGTTCAATTGCGCAACTGAACAACACAAATATCGAACTCAGATGTCGAAACCTTTAAGAAGAAGTTGAAAACGACAGCCTGATAGTAAGCTCTTTGGAAAAGCCCCACTTCTATTACTCAGTGAGTCACTGAAAGCACTGCAGTAGTAACTGATGTAACGGAGCGAAGCAGATGGAGGGATACGGACAGCTCCTGTGAAAGTATGAATGAAAACCGAGGCGAATCAATGCGAGCAACACCTGTGCCGAAAAAGCACGTGTTTTAATGTACTTTGACAGATAAATGCGTTTAAACAAGATTAGAAAGATCAGAAACAGGATATGAGAGAGAATACTGGTCGCGTGCTGCGGCTCTAGTTCACACAGATGTGTAAAATACAGCATCGAAACTGTTTTATCGTCAGTCTGTATTTAGTCTTTGCTCATGCAATGCATAAAACATGCTGTTTAGCTTCGTTTACCAGCTCCGTTGTCATGTTCTGCTGTGTGGTGGCAATCATGTTTGCAGGACTCGGCACCCAAATTCAGCGCAGATCCAGCTTCTAATGCAGTTCTTCTAATGCTCTTCTAGCACTTGAGAGAGCCTTGTTTTGAGTTGGTGCTGCAAGTTGCTCTACACACCCCACTGGCGGATCCCTTTAATAGGATGGTGTAAAGTTGGCCATCTCTCTCTCTCTCTCTCTCTCTCTCTCTCTCTCTCTCTCTCTCTCTCTCTCTCTCTCTCTCTCGCTCTCTCTCTCTCAGTTACTAATCAAGACAAGACACTGCTTGTGGCCTCTGCCCCTTTTTGAAAAAGGCTTTTTCTAATTTGTCTGAGGCATCAGTCACACTGTACACGCTTGATTAACAGTGAGCTGAGATAGATAGATAGATAGATAGATAGATAGATAGATAGAGCGAGCATATATAAAAAAGTGAAATATCAGTCAGACATACTATTTAGGTAGAATGAAAATAGGCTTGAATTACCACTTATGCATCTACAGAAAGGAAGTATTAATTAACTAATTTAGCTATTTTATTTATGTCTGGCCCACTTAAATTACCAGCATCAAAAGCAGCCCTAGGACAAGGTTTTTAAATCTTAGATTCTACAGACCCCTAAATATGATCATCCTCATGCAAGGGGTCCCATTATAAAATTGAAAAGGCATCTATATACTGTATAAACTGACCCAGTTTATAATGTGAAAATTAATATTATAAATATGGGTAAACTATTATTTGGAAAATATTTATTTTCATTTACATTACATTATTACATTTCTTTTTCTAAAACACTGTACCGTCAGATGTAGTATTTATTTATTTATTACATTTAAATTACTTATTTTAATATTTTTTGTTTATTATAGTCAAATGTATTTATTTATTTAGTTACATCGTATTTTTTATTATCTAATCATTATAATCATTATCTACGCTGCTTTTCTCAGAATTTATTTCATGGACCTCTTTATACCAGAGTTCCTTTCTATTCTTTCTATTGCCATGACTTAAAAAAATTTCAACCAAACGAGACAGAATTTTACGTTTTGTTTTTGTCAAATTTTGCATTTTTTAATGCACTATTTAGTACGCAATTATATACATATTTTGAAATTGTTGAGTGTACTATAACTAGTAAAAGACCCGATTTGTCAACAAGCAGTAAGTACAGCAGACAGAAGCCCCTCATTATTTTGTAGAACACGCCGACTGTACGTACTGCGTCGACGCACATACGTCAACACGCCCGGCCTGCGATGATTGGCTGGCGGGTAAATTTGAAACGCGACTCCTCTAGACGCTAACGTTAACAACATACCCCGGTAAACCAGTTTGAACAAACCGGTGCGGTGCTGTTGTGCCTGGAGAAAAATTCTTTTTAGGTTCTAGTTTTGAATCACATTGTTTCACGCACAAGGCTGGAAGTCTACACAAATCCGTAAGTTAAAATATCTGACGACTTGCTGTAATGAATCAATGTTTGTAGTGTTTGTTCCTAATGACGAGTCGTTTGTAAGACACATGCTGGTGTTTTACTGTATGTATTGTGTTATCAACAATTCTAGCCTCATAACCCCAGCAAAAACGAGTTTGATACTACTTTATTAGCATTACTGTGGTGTGCAACGTTAGTACACTTTTTTTCAAAGGATTAAAAAATATATGTTACTAATATTTAATATCGTCACTTTATTATGCACTTTTACTCTTTTACTTTTTGGTATTATTGTTATCATCATTATTTTATATATTTTATTCAGATACATATTCATATTAATTATTTGGCCACGCCCCAAATATTATGTATGGCTGAAAAGCCAAACAGGGGCATGTATTGTTTGTCGCGAGATACTAGCAATAATCATATGCCGACTTAAAATAAAGTTGCTGGGTCTTAGAACGATATAGAATCAAAATAAATCTGCCTAGCTAGTTAATAGATAGATAGATAGATAGAGCGAGCATATATAAAAAAGTGAAATATCAGTCAGACATACTATTTAGGTAGAATGAAAATAGGCTTGAATTACCACTTATGCATCTACAGAAAGGAAGTATTAATTAACTAATTTAGCTATTTTATTTATGTCTGGCCCACTTAAATTACCAGCATCAAAAGCAGCCCTAGGACAAGGTTTTTAAATCTTAGATTCTACAGACCCCTAAATATGATCATCCTCATGCAAGGGGTCCCATTATAAAATTGAAAAGGCATCTATATACTGTATAAACTGACCCAGTTTATAATGTGAAAATTAATATTATAAATATGGGTAAACTATTATTTGGAAAATATTTATTTTCATTTACATTACATTATTACATTTCTTTTTCTAAAACACTGTACCGTCAGATGTAGTATTTATTTATTTATTACATTTAAATTACTTATTTTAATATTTTTTGTTTATTATAGTCAAATGTATTTATTTATTTAGTTACATCGTATTTTTTATTATCTAATCATTATCTACATTTTTTACGCTGCTTTTCTCAGAATTTATTTCATGGACCTCTTTATACCAGAGTTCCTTTCTATTGTTTATAGTCCCATGACTTAAAAAAATTTCAACCAAACGAGACAGAATTTTACGTTTTGTTTTTGTCAAATTTTGCATTTTTTAATGCACTATTTAGTACGCAATTATATACATATTTTGAAATTGTTGAGTGTACTATAACTAGTAAAAGACCCGATTTGTCAACAAGCAGTAAGTACAGCAGACAGAAGCCCCTCATTATTTTGTAGAACACGCCGACTGTACGTACTGCGTCGACGCACATACGTCAACACGCCCGGCCTGCGATGATTGGCTGGCGGGTAAATTTGAAACGCGACTCCTCTAGACGCTAACGTTAACAACATACCCCGGTAAACCAGTTTGAACAAACCGGTGCGGTGCTGTTGTGCCTGGAGAAAAATTCTTTTTAGGTTCTAGTTTTGAATCACATTGTTTCACGCACAAGGCTGGAAGTCTACACAAATCCGTAAGTTAAAATATCTGACGACTTGCTGTAATGAATCAATGTTTGTAGTGTTTGTTCCTAATGACGAGTCGTTTGTAAGACACATGCTGGTGTTTTACTGTATGTATTGTGTTATCAACAATTCTAGCCTCATAACCCCAGCAAAAACGAGTTTGATACTACTTTATTAGCATTACTGTGGTGTGCAACGTTAGTACACTTTTTTTCAAAGGATTAAAAAATATATGTTACTAATATTTAATATCGTCACTTTATTATGCACTTTTACTCTTTTACTTTTTGGTATTATTGTTATCATCATTATTTTATATATTTTATTCAGATACATATTCATATTAATTATTTGGCCACGCCCCAAATATTATGTATGGCTGAAAAGCCAAACAGGGGCATGTATTGTTTGTCGCGAGATACTAGCAATAATCATATGCCGACTTAAAATAAAGTTGCTGGGTCTTAGAACGATATAGAATCAAAATAAATCTGCCTAGCTAGTTATATGAAATGGTGCACACACTTAAAATGTTTTTCTGCAATGCAGGAGGACATGGAGACTGCTGTGATCAATCTGCACAGCATTTTTAATAGCCTGCAGGCACAATTTGATGTTCTCAATGAAAGCATTGAGCCTCGTAAGTACTGGTTGTGGCTTGAAAAATTGAAATAAAATGCATTCATTCACTAAATATTCACTGCCATTCTTTATCTCATTGTCAGAGTTCATTCAGATGGCCTTGAACTTTGAGGACAGCCGTCGTAAATGGCTGAGACGCGAGCAGGAGCTAAATGCATGCAAGGAGGTGCTCACCAAGGCCGAGACGGAGCGAGGAGCTCTGGAGATCAAGCTGAAACATGCCCGCAACCAAGTAGATGTGGAGATCCGTCGGAGACAGAAAGCTGAGGCTGACTGTGTGAAACTGGTTTGTAGGCCTCTTTTTGCATGTTGCTTGTGCTGTAGACCTGTTCTCTGAATTTTAGGCTAAAACCAAATGTTTTCTTCTACTCTGCAGGACCGTCAGATCCAGCTCATCCGGGAGCTGTTGGTGTCTGAAGGTTCCAGTAACAGCATCCAGTTAAATGAGGAGCAGCGGTCAGCTCTGGCCTTTCTGAATGCCCGTTCCCAGAATCCTGCAAACCTCAACACTAGCCGACGGTAAGAGAAAGAACATGAAACCACATTATCAACTAGTAAATCAAATTACTTCTGTAATATGCTAGGTTTCTGAGAAAACCTGGTTATTCTTTAAGAAATCCTTCAGGATTTGATTGGAATCATAAAGCGTAAGATCAGGGTTTTTCAATCTTTTAGATGCCACAGAAAACAAATATGATCATCCTTTTGTGAGGGGACCCCTTTTTAATGGACTAATTATAAGGAGATAATTACATGAATGTCATAAAGACAAAATAGTTGGTTTTTATGATTTAATTGTTTCTTACTGCTGTAGGCTGTAACTTGTCTTGCCTTCATTTTGTTTTTCACACTCTTTTTCTTCTAGATTGACCACCATTGATGAATCAGCCTCTATCTTGTCAGACATCAGTTATGATAAAACTGATGATTCTTTGGTATGCCATTTCCTTTCATATTAAAAACATTAATCATAAATGTATTTCTGTCTCAAACCTGACGGGAAGAAAGTGAAACATTTTAAAGAAATTGACTTTAACGTTTTAATTTTGTTAGACTGGCTCATCTTTTATTGGTTGGAGTTTTGTTGTTGCAGAAATAGATTTTTAAATTAATTTTTCTTTGAATAAAGGACTGGGACTCTTCTGCAATCAGGACTGTTCGTCTCAAGAAACGGCAAAAGAGAGTAAGCTTCCCAACAAAGCTGTATTTAATAAAATTTCTTCCAAATTTCAATCAATATCTGATCATTCAATCTGTCTCAATGCAGCGCTCCTCCCGAAACCACACAGATGGTCCCCCTGCCGCTGCCAAGAGGTCCCGTTCCACCGGCCGCACCTCTGAGAAAGTAAGAGAGGGTTACATAAGCATAAGACTGACTGTTTAAATTGGGGAAAGACTCTTCAGTTTAAAGGCTCCCTGTAGGGCTTAGCTTTAGTCAGTACGAGTAAAATGTTTCCACCAATCCCTACAACCCATATGAGTGTGAATATTGGAAGGTTTTGTCTTCTTTTGACATTGTGAGAGCCAACAAGCTATTCCCTGGTTGTTTTTGATGTTGGAATGCTGTTATTGTCCAGTTAATACCACCATATTTTAGTTGAATGTGTAGTCAGTTAGAAATTGTTTGACAGTTCATTCAAGTCACGTTTTATCAGGGTAATGAGTCTCTGGTGGCTAAGACCACCGTGACGGTGCCCACTGATGGCGGACCCATTGAAGCTGTCACCACAGTGGAGGCTGTTCCTTACTGGACCCGGAGCCGCCGAAAAACTGGTAAGCTCACTTCCTTAAATTTAATATTGTCATTCATGAGGGCGCACATTTCAGAGCAAGAGAATATTTGCATGAGTCATTGATTATGCAATTTTCTTATTGACTGAATAATAATGTGCAGGCTGCTGCTGTATTATAAATAAGCTCCGCAGTGAGTCATGATATGTGGTTTCAGTATCATAAATGTGTGTTTTTATTGAATAGGGTCAAAGATTAATTTTTTAAATAATTTAATACATAGTTTGTAGGACTCTGGGGTGTTTTAAATTGACCCCTTGTTGAGTCTCCAGCATGGTACTCTTTATATTTGTTTGTTTTGTATGGGATGTTCTTCCTGATCATTTCTCACACGCTGAGCCTTTGCATTTCTGTTTAAGTATTCTGCAGTAGTGAGTGAGTGAGCAGTGCTTCTCTCTGCTTTGTTCTTCAGCTGCTCTGGAGTGGGACACTGCTGACACAGACTCTGTTCAGTCTATGGATGTGTTCAAGCAGCCCAGTCAGCCCAATGGAGAGACCAAGGCAGGGCCCAGCACTCCCCAGGGCAACGGAGGTGTCCGTCTGCATGAATTTGTCTCCAAAACGGTATGATGCGGTGTTGCATACAAAATCTCTGAAATCAATGCTCTTCTCCAGTCGCATTGCTCTTGAGTCCCAACCAGAGAGTTAATTTCTCCTAGTTTTTGCAGTTATACAATTGTTAGTTCCATTTTTATAATTTGATTGCATAAGTCAGGACTTTTCAAAATTGGGTTCATGCGGGGAAACGGTTGATGTAAAGCTAATAAATAAATGTGAAATTTAAAATGAATTAAGACATTTAAACACAAAAGATATTTGAGTATTTTATGAATATTCACAAATATTTGATTTGTTTGCCTGCATGTGACCATTAACCAACATTAGTGAACTGTTAAATGATTAAATCTCTTAAGTCTAAAATCTCTTCTTTAAAGTTACAATGAAATGGAAGTAGTGACAGATCTTTCTTCAGTATTGTATCTACTTAAAATAAAATGTAGGGAGTGACTTCTGTGCACTGGTTGGTGAATAGATTTTGAGATGCGGGCATTTACACTCAAAAGCAGAGGTAGATGAACGTGAGCTTGATGGATTGTGGATTAAATAATCGGAGAAGACTTGCATATGTCTGTTTTTAACACCCAAAGGTCCAGTTATGACATTTTGATTTAAACATTGCAAGGTAAAAATGGAAAGAAAGAAAAAAAAAATTAGAATTGTTCACAATAAGTTCTGTAACATTTAGTGTGAATTTCATGACTTTAAGTCATGATAAATATTTTTGGTCACAGTGGTTCAACTGACAAAAAAGTTTGGGAATTCCTTGGTTAAGCGATGAGTGCTAGTATAACAGTAATAGGGATGTAACGATTACCGGCTTGACAATAAATCATGATAAAATTCCCCACGGTTAGTATTACCGTTTCATCCTTTAATTATCATTAAAACCGTATTAGATTACCGCGATTTGAACAACTCGCGATAAATAAATACTGTCCAGCATAAAGCACAGTTTTAAGTAACAGTCTCGGAGTAGTTTCGTTTTGAGTGAGAACAGGGCGGAAAAGCTGGGAGGTTTTAAAAGAGTGCTAAGGGAATTATACAAATGAATATATTAATTAATTATATGAATGTACCTCTGAATATTCTGACTGTCTTCAGAAACGATTCGACGGCATTTTGTTTTCATCTTCGCTCCATGTAATACCTAAAGGAAGTGTTCTTAATCGCAATACTGCTTTGTCCACGGAGGTTACGGAAACAGCTCTATTTCAGCTTTTCCATAAGCGCCATCTGCTGTCAGCGAGTGGATTTACAGAGACTTATATTTTACATTCAGTCTGAGTGCAGTTTCTGTCTGGCCAAAAATGGACCAAATTTGCATGCCCTGCTGTAAATTTTGACCGGTTGATGGAAAAACAAGCTTATGTGGGTTCTACACATTTAAACAATTCAGGTAAGTTATCTAGAATTATTTATGGAGCAGATAAAATATCATGTATTAATCCATTATCATTTTGACCTATATCTTTTCTTTATTTAAAGGCTGAAATGTGACGTTTACCTTTTTATTAAACTTTTTCAAAGCTTTATTTTAACATTTACATTAGATATTTCAACATGCTATTAAACTGTTGTCAGTCAAGTTGTCATTTAAAATCCGAACATCATTGGTAATGTTATTGTTTTAGTGATTATGCAAACAAAAAGTCATTTTATTTGTTGTTTGTTGATTTTTAAATATAAAACTTGAAGTGATTTCAGCACATTTTAACAATACCGTGATAATACTGATAACCGTGACAATTTTGGTCACTATAATCGTGATAAGAAATTTTCATACCGTTACATCCCTAAACAGTAACATTCATTGTTCATACCGATTCTATGGTTTGCAACGTTGTACCTATTTCAGTTATAGCAAAAAAAAAAGGCAAAATAGTAGTCCATATTATGTCTCAAATGTCCACACCAAGTAAAGTTTTCAAAGCATGTAAAACTGACACAAAACTATACCACTCCAATTATAATCAATGAAGTTATCTGCACAGGTTTGTGTTTATAGCCCTCACAGCTCATATCTGCCTGGCCCTTGTGATTTTTCCTAGGTGATCAAGCCAGAGTCTTGTGTGCCATGTGGTAAGAGGATCAAATTTGGGAAGATCTCTCTGAAGTGCAGGGACTGCCGTGTGGTGGCCCACCCTGAGTGCCGTGAGCGCTGCCCTCTGCCCTGCATTCCAAACATGACTGGGACTCCAGTGAAATCCGAGGAGGTGACAAATCTTTATGAAGCTTTTTCAACAAGCTCGAGTATTTCCGCCTCTGTTTTACTGATTTTTTAATTAAAATAAGAGGCTGCATTGGACTCTTAATTTCTTTAAACATGTATACCTTATTCACTGATTGCTTCTGGTGTGATTTTCAATAGGGCATCCTAGCAAATTATGTGTCCACCTCCTCTCCCATGATTCCTTCGCTAGTAGTGCACTGTGTTAATGAGATTGAGCAGAGAGGCCTACATGAGGTAAGTCGATAAAGAGGCAGAATTCTTGAATTCTAAACAAGACCAGTATGGTCTGAAAACCTGCATATTCCTTTGATAGACTGGTCTGTATCGGGTGTCTGGCTCTGATCGAGTAGTCAAGGACCTGAAAGAGAAGTTCCTGCGTGGGAAGACTGTTCCCTTGCTCAGCAAGGTGGACGATATCCATGCCATCACTGGCCTCCTCAAGGACTTCCTGAGGAACTTCAAAGAACCCCTGCTGACCTTCCGCCTCAATCGTGCCTTCATGGATGCTGCTGGTTAGTGTTGATGAATGTACACCGCTGTTCAAAAGTTTGGGGTTTGTAAAATTTATTTTTGAGGTTTTTGCAAGACATCTCTTATACTCACCAAGGCTGTTTTATTTGAACATTACAGTAAAGACAGCAATATTGTGAAAAATTATTACTTTATGGTTTTAATATATTTTATGTAATGTACTTTTTGCCTGTGGTGGCAAAGCTGAATTTTCAGAATCATTACTCCAGTCTTCAGTGTCACATGATCCTTCAGAAATCATTCTAATATGCTAATTTGGTGTTCTAGACAATATTATTAATGTTTAAAACAGTAGTGCTGCTTAAATTTATTTTATTTTTTTTGTGGAAACCATGATACATTGACATGGGATTCTTTGAATTTTATATATATATAAATAAAAAAAAACTTCAGTTATTTCATAACATCACCTGATCTTGAACGATTTAGTAATTTTTTTTCTTTGTATTACAATTTGCCTTTTTTTTGGCCCTGTAGCGAGTATGTTTGGGCCCCTTACGACTCCTGACCAGCAGATGAGCAAGACCCCATCCTCCAGCTCTAGACAATATTATTAATGTTTAAAACAGTAGTGCTGCTTAAATTTATTTTATTTTTTTTGTGGAAACCATGATACATTGACATGGGATTCTTTGAATTTAAAGTTGAAAAGAACAGCATTTATTTGAAATAGTAGTCTTTTGTAACATTATGAATGTCAATTTTTGGTTATATATAATAACAGTACATATCAGTACATTCAATAGTAACTATTCAGTCTTTTCTCATAGAACTCTCCGATGATGACAACAGCATCGCCTTGATGTATCAGAACATCAGTGATCTTCCACAGCCCAACAGAGACACTCTGGCCTTCCTCATCATGCATTTGCAGAGGTAAACCGCACACATGGTCTCTGATTCTACGGTCTGCTTTATAGCTGGTGCCGCTTGCTAATATGTTATGTTTCTTACCAGATAACACTTACATTTGTGACATTTAAAAGAGTATTCCAGGTTTAACGCAACTTTGTTAAACATCAGTTCCTTAAGGGGTTGTTGTACTGGAGGGTATAAGTGTAAGTATAAATGTTTATTTTTAAGCATTACCAAAAACTTTGCTTTAAGTATGATGGTTATACTCTTGAAATGGTGTTAAATTTGCATATTTTTAATTTATTTGTGGTGCTGTAAATTCCCTATAGACATCCGCATCTTATCAACAGTTAAACTTAACCTGTATTTGACCATGGGATTATTTCTACAACAAACAAAATGTCAATAATATTATGGTTGCAAAATTGGTACTAGATATGTATGCCATCAATCTTGGAAACACTTTTTTTTCTTTCCTCAATGTTTTCTATTTCCCCCTTTTTAACAGCAATTATATGCAATATAACACGAGGAGCTAATAAAGAACTATCTTGCAGACCATTTACTGATCAATAAAAGTGATTGTATGGGTTGATGCATTCATTTCCATCATCTTCAGGGTGGCCCAGAGCAAAGATACAAAGATGGACATAACCAATCTGGCTCGTGTATTTGGGCCCACAATTGTGGGTCATACCGTGCCTGACCCAGATCCAATGACCATTCTGCAGGACACAAAACGGCAGCCAAAAGTAAGTGATCTTACTTGGGGTCTGGGGTCTGCAAAAGTGTACCTTTTTACTTTTTTGTGTTTTGGCCCAGAATTTTTCACCAAGCTCTTTCTCTCTGAGGTGGTTGAGAGTCTCCTGGGTCTGCCTGTGGAGTACTGGAGTCAGTTTATGATCAGCAACAATAACCAGACTCACAATGATAACATGATCATTGAGAACGCCAATGTCCACGCAACTCCTGATCAGAAAAGTATGAATTTCACAGACAAACACTTA